GCACTCAGTTCAACGGGTCGAAAATTAAATCGTGGTGTGAAGAGATGAAGGTGAAGCAAAGGTTCGTAGCTGTAGCGCACCCGCAAGCTAATGGGCAGGTGGAGGTAGCCAACAGAATCATCTTACAAGGGTTGAAGAAGAGGCTCGAAGGGTACTCAGGCGCATGGGTGGATGAACTTGACTCTGTACTATGGTCATACCGGACAACACCACAAAGTTCGACGGGAGAGACGCCTTTTAGCCTCGTTTACGGGATGGAGGCCGTTATACCTGTCGAAGTTGGAAACAGCTCCCTCCGAGTAGAGAAATTCGAAGAAAATGCCAACACCGAGCTACAAAGGGAAGCCCTGGAAACTATTGAAGAGCGACGCGAGGCTGCAGCCTTGAGGATCGCGCTATATAAACAGCGGATGAAAGCAGCTTATGACAGGAGGGTCAGAAGGAGGGAATTCCAAGTTGGAGACCTAGTGTGGCGCAGATCGGATGCGTTGAAGAAGGTGGGAAAGATGGAACCTGCCTGGGACGGGCCGTTCAAAGTCTTGAAAGTCCTCAAGGGCGGGGCATATGAGCTCGAAGATAAGTATGGGAAGATATTGCCCAGGCCATGGAACGTTATTCACCTCAAGAAGTACTACGCGTAGACCCAGCCCGACGGACCTTCTTTTGGGGTACATTGTACATATTTTTGAAGAAGTACTTATTTTGGTGAATATCGTGCGGCTTTAGGCGTTTTGAAAAGCGAATCCTTTTGAATAGAATATACCTGTTTTGATGTTTTGATCACATGTACCCGTTTTGTGTAATCGGTTCAATGTCTTTTAACCTTATGTACCCGCTCCGCTACTCTAATGCTTATATGTATTCACTCATTCGTTTTGCGTACTTGGTTTCAATTGAATATGTTTACGATATATGATTGAACCGCACTTTATGAATGTATGTGGATATGTACCGCTTTGACTTTAATATATGTTTCGACATGTCCTATGTTGTGTCTATTTTCGAATGAGTTAATGTCGCCTAAAGGCTAGATCGATTCCAAACCGGGGGTAGATCGATTCGTAGCTAAAGGCTAGATCGATTCTCAAGCCGGGGATAGATCGATTCGTAGCTAAAGGCTAGATCGATTCTCAAGCCGGGGATAGATCGATTCGTAGCTAAAGGCTAGATCGATTCTCAAGCCGGGGATAGATCGATTCGTAGCTAAAGGCTAGATCGATTCTCAAGCCGGGGATAGATCGATTCGTAGCTAAAGGCTAGATCGATTCTCAAGCCGGGGATAGATCGATTCGTAGCTAAAGGCTAGATCGATTCTCAAGCCGGGGATAGATCGATTCGTAGCTAAAGGCTAGATCGATTCTCAAGCCGGGGATAGATCGATTCGTAGCTAAAGGCTAGATCGATTCTCAAGCCGGGGATAGATCGATTCGTAGCTAAAGGCTAGATCGATTCTCAAGCCGGGGATAGATCGATTCGTAGCTAAAGGCTAGATCGATTCTCAAGCCGGGGATAGATCGATTCGTAGCTAAAGGCTAGATCGATTCTCAAGCCGGGGATAGATCGATTCGTAGCTAAAGGCTAGATCGATTCCCAAACCGGGGGTAGATCGATTCGTAGCTGAAGGCTAGATCGATTCCCAAGCCGGGGGTAGATCGATTCGTAGCTAAAGGCTAGATCGATTCCAAAGCCGGAGGTAGATCGGTTCGTAGCTAAAGGCTAGATCGATCCCAAAGCCGGGGGTAGATCGACTCGTAGCTAAAGGATAGATCAATTCGGGGCTAAAGGCTAGATAGATTAAAGGGTAAATTCGTTTGGTTCGGTACCGAGATTAGGGATGGATCGAAGAGAACATAACGCAATGATCTCCGACATCAAGGGTGCGCGTGTCGAGCCTCGATACCACAGACGCGAGGGCCGAGCTCCGACACCATGGGTGCGAGGATCGAACACCGATGCCTCAGACACGAGGATCGAACTGGGATACGAAGAGCGCGGGGATCGATCTTGAATTAAACCGTCATAGCTGTCGTAATGAAAATAAAGAGAACTAGCAAACACAATCGCCAATCGACTACAAATATCCACAAACATGAGTTCGAATATAAGCCCACAAAAAAGCATAAGTTCAAAAGCGGTACAAATAGTCTGAATAGCGATCTGAATCACGTAGACATGCAAAAATACAAGCCACACTAGCAGTCCAACAAAATAGAGACAATAGAAAACATCCACAAAACAACCAAATAAAGCCCCGAGTTAAGCATCGAGCTTGGCTCCACCAACGGTTGTCGTCTCGATCTCACGAGTGGTACCAGCAGGTGTTGTCTCGACCTCGTGTACGGTACCAAGAGGGGTAGTCAACCCAGCGTCACCGACGGCAGCAGTAATATCACCAAGCCCATTATGCCCAGTACCCTTAGACCCTGCATCGAGCTCTACATCGAGCTCTACATCGAGCTCAGCATCAAGTTCAGCATCGAGTTCAGCATCAGGAGAGGGTGGAGGAGCCGGTATCGAAGAGGGAACATCGACTTTTCCCTCAAGCCCCGCCACATGCACCGCGAGGCCTAACGCAGGCTCCCACCAGGGATGCTCGTAGGGCAAGGATGAATCGCCACTAAAGCCGTCGAAGTCGGGAAGGTTAGTCTTGATTGCCTTCTTGTCGAAAGTCCCGGCAAATCCTGGCTTCGCGGCCTGCTCCATAGTGCGAGTAATCCCAAGTTCCAAGTACTGAGCAGCGGCGGGTGCGAGCTTGTGCAAGAAGGGCACAGAAGTGGTGTAGGCTTTCACAAGCTCATCACGGTAAGCCCCCAAAAAGCGCCGACCAATATCAGAAATGAAGAAACTGCGAACACCCTCTTGACGATATGACTCAGCAGAGGCATGGTGTTTGGCGGTTATCTCCTTCAGCTGATCCGATGAACGCTTCTTCTCTTGGTCAACGTCCACCTGTAAGGAGACAACTTGCCCCTTCAACGACGAGATATCCTTGTCATATTTCTGTCGCAGCTTAGCCATGTCCTCTTTGTGACGACTCAGCGCCTGAGCATGGCGGACACGAGCCTCTTCAAGCTGCCGCTTCAACTGATCGAGCTCAGTAGGGGCAGCGTGGACATCGTCCATCCCCTCCAACAGCATCGGGGTAACAGCACGAAGAAGCTGCACACAATACATGAGGACATGAATTAGGGTGCGATATGAGAACATGAATCAGGGTGTGATATGACAAAGGAGAAAAAATGACGTACCCCAGCAAGGTGTTGGACACCCTCACGAGCCCGCTGACGGGGCTGGCCATCATAGCGATGAACCTCAACATCCGGCAGGCAAGAGAGCAAATACCTACCGATAGCACCAGCATCCGTCTTCGGCCCAAAGTCGATCGGAGCGACCTCCCGAGGCCTATTAGGGGAAGATCGAGCTCGCTTCTTTGAATTAGCTTCAGAAGGGTGTCCCACTAGGCGTTCGGGAGTCGCGTTCCCAACATTCACAAGAGGTGCGGAGGGATGGCTGGACCGGGTTTGCCGACTGGACTGCTCTGGTGGGGGTGACGAGCGTCGAGCACGAGGCCGATCTAAGGTGGAGGGTCGAGCCTCGCGAGCCGCATTTGTGCCAGAAGCCTTTTTTGTAGAATAACGAGCGAGGACGTTATCTGCAACAAGTGAAAAAACTCCATGTCAGCGCATAATGAGCATAAGATACATGAAACATAGGACAACCAAACGTCAGAAGGACCGAATAACACATAGATCGATCACCACATGAATCGAGCCAACATAAGATCGAGCCTGACCATAGGCTAACAGAACAACATAAGAGGGACACAAAGCAAGTAGAGCAAAGGTGCGTCACTAAATACCTATGGTGTCGGCCAAAGGTTCCTTCACGGTAGTCAAACCGGCAAAATGACGGAGACTCACATCCGCCGAGAGGCCCACCGCATCGACCGGGTGCTTGTTCCAATCCTCCACGATCGACCTCCATAGGGGATTAGCCTTGGGTCGAGGTTTCGTGCGTTGAGACAATTTCTCGTGCCTCCAAACCGAGGAGAACGCAAAGGTATTAGCGGGAGGGCGGACAAAAAAGAACTTCGTCCTCCAGGCAGGGATATTCGAAGGTAACTTCGTGATGAAATGGGCACCATTACGGGGACTAACGTAGTGAGAACGGGTATCTTCCTTAAAATTTAACCCATAGCTATAGAAGAATAAACCGGGATCGAGCCTTCGCAAACGAGCTCGACTCAATATGACGAAGCAAATCATAACGCGAATGGTGTTGGGAGGAAGCTGATTGAGAGCAATATTATTAAACACATTACATAAAGAGAGAAGGTCAGGGAGATCGGAGAAGCGTAAGCCGAGACGGATTTGGTCTTTGAAAAAGGTGAAGCACCCATCAGGAGGATTATCGTAAGAGTTGGAAGGCTGAGGAACTATAAACCCCCAACCTTCAGGTAGCTCGCACATTGCCTTGAATTGAGCGATCTCGCTCAATGAAGCGCGAAAGAAGGGGTTAACCCTACGCTTCGGAGGAACGGTTTGTGAAGCGCATTGACTAGGATGACTAGAATGAGCAGAAGGAGAATCGGGGAGAGAATCGGGAACCACGGAGGCAGAAAGACCGTGGGAAACCGGGGCAGAACCCTCGGGAAAATCTAAATCGAGCCCACCTAGACTGATTGGTCCGTCCGGGATAGTGTCTCTGCTGCAACTTAAAAAGAACCCTAAGATCAATTTTTTTTATATATATATATAATTTGTTAATTTACTTGGTGGTTCGACAAATGAGCCGTTAGATTATCATTTATATCAATTGTACTTGATTAGTGAAATAATATTTACTAATATTTTTATACATTTTATCATTGATTTCTTAAACACACGAGGTATAATTACTGTTTTATATGATATTATTATAAATATAAAACAACAATCCCAATATTTATCAAAATTCCATAGAGAGAAGGGAAAAAATTAAATAAAATTAAATGGTAAGAAATGGTTTGCTGGTCTGCCGATAATGCCACCAATGCGTACCTCCAAACAATGAAAATGGTAAGCATCTAAAGAAAATAATCCGAAAACACGATTTTACATGAATGTACTTATTGTATAGTTTCATCTAATTTCGTTTTTTGATACTGTCTTCAGGGAAAAAGTGCAAACGAGCCAAACGGTGCTGCATTCATCTCCGCTCTGGCAGCCGGCAACAATGCTCGGTTCACGGTGGTCATAAAGACAGATGGGCCTCATTCGTCAAATGAATTATATGTCATGTTTTTTTTGTTTATTATGTTAAATTATTTACTTAGGAAGAGTCATAAAGACAGATGGGCCTCACTAGTGCATGAATGACCAAGAGACAGAAAATTTAAGATTCTTAGCCTAATGCTTAGTTAATTCCCCAGTCTCGTCCATTATACAAGTTTCAGCAGTCCCCCTGGGTGACAACATCATAGCTAAGTGATTTAGCTCTCTGGACGTGAGTCAGCTTAAGAATATTAATCCCTTTTTAAACAAACATTTGGGGTGACTTAAACTTCCTGGAAGCTAACATCGTCCTTCAGTGTACAATAACTATATATGTTATGTTATTTCAAGTTGTGGTTTAGTTAGCAGCCTGCCAGCTTCACTCCATTCTCAGCAACTTGTAGGTAGATTCAGTATTTTTTTTTTTTTTCATTTTCTTTTTATCTATGGACATTCATAAATACTGGGCGTGTGATAATGTCACGAGTAACAGTGAAGATGAGTCCGTATAATAAGTTACAAGTTCAAAAATTAGATGAAATGAATACACTACATAGTAAATTCTAATAAACTATAGTTTTGTGCTTTAAGGAAACAAAGACTGACCCATAATTTACAACAAATTCGCCAAAGACACATGCGAGTTTCAATACAAAGATATCTATCTATACTTGGGACCTAAATTTTAGTTAACATATAATGTTTTGGAATGTAGTGGGCATACATAATTGAGTTTCATGGCTTAGTTTATTCGCCCTTGTAGCAGAGCCAGTTGGATAGACAGAGTCCCACATGCAAAACAGCAGGTCCCAATGCCTGTCTCTATAAATATTACAATTTCCAAGATTGAGCACATCACACACCTTCAGAAACATAGNAATTCAATAGAGACAAGTGAAAAAAAATAAAATTAAATTAAATTGTAAGAAATGGCTTGCTGGTCTGCCAAGAATGCTACCAGTGCTTACCTTCGAACCATGAGAATGGTAAGCGTCTAAACAATATAATCTGAAAACACGATTTTACATGAATGTACACATTCTATAAGTTTCATTTTTAATTTCTCTTTTCTGATTACGTTTTCAGGGAAAGAGCACAAAAGAGCCAAGCGGCGCCGCATTCATCTCCGCTCTGGCGGCCGGCAACAATGCCCGGTTCACGGTGGTCGCCTGTGGCGGCCCGGCGGACTCCACCACCCTAGCGCTGGCGGCAGCCGCCCACCAAACCGGCGGGCGTATTGTCTGCATACTCCCTGACCATCAAAATTTCCGAGCCTCCCAGTTAGCTCTTGGCCCAAATGCTGCAAACATCGAGTTCATACAAGGAGATGCCAAGGAGCTCTTATCAAGCTGGTACAAAGACTCGGACTTTGTGGCTGTCGACTGCAATCTCGAGAACCATGAGGCCATCATAAGCGCTCTTCAGGAAAAAATCGAGCGCCATCATCACAAAAACTTCATTGTGTTGGGATACAATGCATTTTGCAAGGAGACGTGGAGGAATAGCGACTTGAAGACGCAGCTTCTGCCGATAGGGGAAGGCCTGCTGCTGACGAGAAGCACGAGTAATTGGGTGGTGAGGGTGGATAAATGCACGGGGGAGGAGCATGTTTTCCGGGTGAGATCGTCTGTGGGGAAGCTCATTGGAGCTTGATGGTGTGTTGAACTCTAATGACTTTAGCTCCAAGAACGATATGTATTGTACCAAGTTATCAAATGTAACTGTAAATAGTTATTATGAAAAATCTCTAGTTTTACTTCTTTATTTTTTATTTACTTTTTTTGCTGTGTGTTTGGGTCGTTTAGTTAGTCCTTTAAAACTAGAAACCACATGTTTGATGTCAGAGCTTAATAAAAAAAGTCTGTAGGCAGTTGAGGTTTACACAAAGTCTCACATCAAAAAAAACACCAAACAATGAGTGTTTTTAATGAACCACCACAGCTTCTTAAGACAAGACCTTACTTTTACTATTCTATAGGCTCGTACCTCTGCATCTAGAAACAAACACTCCAATCTCCATCTTCTCTTCACTTGGCAGTCAAACAAGCACACTGCTCCTACCAACAAAACCTGGCAATATCACAATTTCAACTCCATTCAATCACGTAAAATCCAAAGTTTGTCCATTCTAATTAAGCGAGATATGTTTTCACCGCAACGATCAATACTTTTTTCATGACAGGTGCATCAATGCATCATCAGTCAATCACTTACCACTAATAGCCTCTAAACAGTAATCATGATCTGAAAATCGTGTCGATAAAAGAAATCCCATACTAACAACATAAGCCAAGAAATGAGCATATGATAGTTAGATAGTAAATGGGTCGACAAAGGTGTTTTTGTGAGGCAAAACTTCATCAAGAATCATATAAAATTCCCCAGCCAACCATTCCTTGTTACTTGATGTGGGGTTGATCGATCCCATTTCCCCGGTAGCAATAACCACGTAGAAAACAAGGCAAAGCTCGTTTCTGGACGACCCTTTAAACACCAACACTTCCATCTGCTGCAACCAACCGACCGGCTCAATATTAATCAAATCATGAATTTCACTTTCCAACACAATCCGACGTTCCCATTCCCTCCAATAATAATAATAATAATCCCCACACACCATCTCCCAAACTCGAAACACGTGATGTTTAACTTCAACCAATAGAGTGAGCGACTTCCCAGTTGACAGGTACCACCAGCTCGTGAACTTGGGAGGATTCTTGGGGAATATTGGGGTCCGTGTCTCCATCATAACCTCCGTCTCCACATTCAGCGTCAGGACAGTGTCCCCAAAAATCAAATGAATAAAACCCTCCGTCACCAACGGGCGGCTGAGTGTAGGCTCCGTCAAATATTGGATGGTCGCAAGATCAAGATGCCTCCATGAGTTGTCTACACCCACGGTCAATATGGCCTGGCACGCGTCACTTTCCCAACCAGTACGGTATGCCTTCGAGGCCTGCGCGTACCCCACAGAACAACGTATACATATTGCATTTTTGGGGAGCGGAAGGAGTTGGAAGGCTCGTCCCGTGACAGGGTTGACCACGTGGAGTTGGAAGGGTTCGTCATACCTGTATTCGAGGATGAGGCCGTTGCAGCTAGTCTCTAACCCATATCTGAATTTGTAACCGTAGTAGTTGGATACCGTGACACGGCCTTGTCTCATAGACACGAAAACCGCGCGCTGGGAGGAGGGATGTTCATAACTATATGTTGGGGCATATCGGAAGAAGAGGCCGTATTCGTCAGTTTGCTGCTGGAGGTGGAGGTTTACGAATTCCTCGGAGCGGATTGTGTCGTAGTACAGCCTCCGGCAGACGAGACTTGCACTGTGAATGTCTTCAGCAGAGAGGTTCAACAGGATCTTGAAGAGCACATCATGCGGAAGGGAAATTAGGAGATTGTTTTGGGCACAAATGCCGGCTTGCTTCTCACCCTCTGCTTCAACTTCGCCCGACCAAGGGCGGTGAGATGATTGCAGCCGGCGGAAGATTGATGATAACAATTTCATCCCGATCACGGATACAGCACTAACCTAAAAATTAATTTTATTCAAATTACATCCCCATTACCATATATACACAGTAATATATTCATTAATAATTATAAATTAAAAATGTTTCTTAACTAAAATTTATAAATTAAATTTATATCGAGATGCAATACAATTTATCTTTATTAATTTATTGAAAATGTTATATCAAATTTAAATTGTGCAAAATTACATAAAACATGTCTATTTAAAATTCGTACGCAACTCGTACGGTACACATAACTAATAATAAATTACATTATATCATTTCAAAATGACTGTTGTTTTAAAATTTTTATTCAGAAATTCGATTTGAATACAATACAATGTGGTTACATAAATAATTACTTTGGTAAAATTTTATCATATATTTAAAAATCTATGTGAATATTAAGTATAATATTAAATTTTTTATATTATTTCATTAATTAAAATAAATTTATTTTTTTATAAATTATCCAAATAAAAAGATTTAAGTAGTTGAGTTATTTATTAAACTATAGATAATTGACTATTCTATTTATGTCCAAGCTAATGTTGACCCGTAGGTTATGAATAATTACTTATTTGCATTTTAAATTTGAAACTCAACTAATTTGTTCAAATTTATCAACTAATTCACTAAAATTAAATTATAAATTTTAAATTTTTATTAACAAATATTTGTTTAAAGATCTTTCTAATTTTCAAAAGCAATACATATCAATTTGTCGAATTATCATCAATATCATATCAAGTTATTATAGGAATATGCTAAAACTTCAGAATATATTCTTTTTCCACTAAACTAAATAACTAATGGTGTGCATGATTATGTACTTATTATATGTACAGGTGCACTTGGTGATAATGTGATGTATTTATATTAAGTTATAATATTGGTTCAGTAGTATCTCAATTTCATTTATACATTCATATACCAAACTATAAATGAACAATAATGTGATCTAAATCTGTGTTCGCCTGCCGGAAGGCAATGGAAGCCATAAACCTCACTGTTTTCAAACCTGCTGGCTAAATTCACATATATATTGATTTCGCCAGTTAGTTTATTCTATACTCTCCCAGAGAGATTTGCTATTTACTAATTAAATCATAGAAAGAGACTTTATTCTTTATACAAGTAAATTCAAGATATTCCCAAGTTGTATATTGTCCGTGCGACAGGCTAGAAAATAATCTTAAAACACAAATAAATTTTCTTGAGTTGACCTTAATTCTTAAAACACATATTTTCAGTTAGTCCTTCAAAACTATAAACCTTATAGTTAATGTCAGAGATTAATAAAAAAAGTTCGAAGTTTACACACAAAGTCCTACCATCGAAAAAACACTAAAAAAAATTGAATGTGTAATGAACCACAGCGGCTTCTCAAGGCACGACCTTACTTGAACAGGATCTGTTCTATAGGCTCGTACCTCTTTATCCTTGAGTTCTAAGGAGACAAATCATCAAGTCTGGTTGTTGAGAACAAACCCCTTGGCCCAGGCTCGGGTCCATTGGGTCAGTAGAGGATCGTTCTTGGCTGGTCTTGACGAGCCAAGATGGCCTGACAGCTGTCTGACACACTTCTAAATCTTTTTTTTTTTCAATTTTAATCTGGACAAATACTATATTGAACTGTGCACATAAAAAAACACCCAACAAAATAAATCACTGGAAATTCATGCAAGCAACTATAAATTATAAATTATAAATATGTTTTCCTTTAACTTTCAGTCAAAAGATCAAAGATTGCAGCAATTATAGAATTCTGATTAATTCTTAAATCCTCTGAGACTGAAAAAAGTAAACCAACTGAGCTTTTTACCAAAGTGAAAGCTCGAAAAGTTCATATACAGAGCACCTGATGCTCTGACTAATAATAAATAAACCATTCTAATAAAAATAGTAGCTATTATTCATCAAAAGCATAAATTTCACCAACCTTTACCAAGGCATGTAAAACCTTTGTGATGATAATGCAGAATACAGACCGTTATATCACTCTCTCATCTCATTGCAATGCCTAGAAACAAACACTCCAATCTCCATCTTCTCTTCACTTGGCAGTCAAACAAGCACACTGCTCCTACCATCAAAACCTGGCAATATCACACTTTCAACTTTATTCAAACGTGTAAAAATCCGAAGTTTGTCCATTCTAATTATGCGAGATATGTTTTCACCGCACGATCAATACATTTTTCATGACAGGTGCATCATCAGTCGATCACTTATCACTAATAGCCTCTAAACAGTAATCATGATCTGAAAATCTTGTCGATAAAAAAGAATCCCATCCTACCAACATAAACAAGAAATGAGCATATGACAGTTAGATAGTAAATGGGTTGACAAAGGTGTTTTTGTGAGGCAAAACTGAACAAAGAATTGCATCAGATTCCCCAGGTAACCATTCCTTGTTACTTGATATGAGGTCAATCCATCCGAGTTCCCCGGTGGCAATAACCACGTAGAAAACAAAGCAAAGCTCGTTTCTGGACCATCCTTTAAACACCAACACCTCCATCTGCTGCAACCAACCGACCGGCTCAATATTAATCAAATCATGAATTTCACTTCCCAACACAATCTGACGTTCCCATTCCCTCCAATAATAATAATAATAATTATCCACAGACACCATCTCCCAAACTCGAAACACGCCATCTTCAACTTGAACCACTAGAGTGAGGGACTTCCCAGTTGACAGTGACAGGTACCACCAGTCCATGAACATGGGATAATCATCCACGGGGACTGGGGCCCGCATCTCCATCATAACCTCCGTCTCCACATTCAGCGTGAGGACAGTGTCCACATAAACCGAATGAATAAAACCCTCTGTCACCAACAGGTTGCCGATGGAAAACACAGTCAAATGGTCGGTTGGAAGATGCCTCCATGACTTGTCGACACCCACGGTCAATATGGCCCACCTCACATCCCCTTCCCAATCATAGTATGCCAAAGCCACCTTGTACGTGTTGGGAAAAATACGCTGAATTTTCCATGAAGTCGGATATATAAAAGTGAAATAAAAATAAAAATTGGACACGCCAATTGATAACGGAGTTCGGCCAATAATGCCTACGTCTCCGGACTACTGCAGATATTTTATTGGGAAAAAGAAATACACTCGTGTTTACAAAACACTCTCGAATTTATTTTGCTTCTTGTCAAATAAAGGAGGCGCAACCCCTTTTTGACTCAACAATCTCCC